CATCCCCTGCAACAAGAATCCCAAGAGAACCAAGAGAGCGAGAGAGCAAGCTCCTTTGTTTAGGAGTTTAAGTATCTCAAATCTTCCCAGGTTTACAGTAGCCATGCCTACTCTGGCCAATGACCTGCTCCCAGGTGCAACTGACAGAAAAGTAGCTTCCCTATGTCACCCAGACTTTAATTGGCATGTGCCTATTTTCTCCTCATCCAGTCTCTGGGGAGTGTTAAACTGAATCTTCCTGGCAAAGCTGCCCAAATGACATGTCTATAATTTTTGGCCTTCCCTTTGCCCCTTTCCAGTTACTTAATAACGGGGTTACATTACAGTGGTATCAGTAATACTTCACTATTTATTACTATATGCACAAGGAAATACAGCTTAGGCAAAATGAATGGCCATTTACCTGCTCTGAAGGGTGCAGAGCCATGGCATGCCATGATGCTATGGTGACTCCACAAATCTTCATTCCTTGGGTACCAAGCCACATCTAGTTCCACCCTGCACATTTGGGCTAGAAAGGCTGTGTTTACTATCAGAACTTTCATGAACATTTCTTAAGGAAGCTTGGTTTCTAGCAATGGAATATCTATCCATGGGTTTTCCCCTAGTGTTGTTCCAGCAAGAAGTTTTGTTTATTACATTGGCTAGTTGTCATAGATCTGGTGCTGAAAAACTAGCAAGAAGATGAGTGCATTATAGAGTCAATGCTATTGAAGATTCTGACTCAGGGTTTCATTTGTTCCCCATCCCGGCAGAACTTAAAGTGAGGTGTAGATGTGTCTATGGCATTGTAAGGGAATGGAACAACAAACAAATAGAGGACAAGGGGCATTCTCAATTAGATTACAATAGTCCATGGCCTTCATTGTTAATGGTGGATTATCATTGGTTGGGATGGGGAAGGGAGGAATAAGAAACAAGCAACTTGAAATGAGTGAGAGATTTACCAAAAATAGATGACCACTGGAGACATTAATCATCTGTGATAGAAACAGACTTTGTTTTCTTCCACCATAACTACCAGCTTCTCCCTCTGAAGTGGCTTGGGGAAGTGCTGGTATTCTAGTACTGGTAGTTCACCAGAGAAGTCATCTTCACTCTGAGGAGGGAGCAAAGGATTATAAGAATGGACCAGCTCAGATATCAGTACCTGGAACTGGGGTCTTAGGAAGACTGGTAATATAGAGGGTAGCCCTCAGGGGACCACTCACAGACTGGCATATGCAAGTAGACAATACTGCACAAAATAACAAGCAAAGAAGTTGACTAGTGTAATTTAATGCAAATGTAATTATTTAATGCACACTTAATTGATACTCAATTTGCTCCCTGACAACTCCGCCATTACTTTATATTGTGAAAAGCACATTAATAGAAAGATGAGGTAAGAGCAAAGTTACAGGTAGAAAAAGAGATTATTGTTTCTCTAGAGACAAGAGATCATGCAGTAGGGTCACATAGAAATAGGGTCTGAGGCTAAGGTGATAGGAAACTTATTCTAAATTGACAAGACAAATGAAAATAGCAGATACCTGACTCAAGATACAAGGACTAGTAGGACTTTAGGTTGAATCATTGGCCCTTATCTTAGTGCAGCCCGATCTTTAATGCAGGTTGATGTTCTTCACTGAGATGTGTAATACTTTTATGGCAGGCCCAGCATCCTTTCCCAATAATAAGGTCAATCAACACTGGGGCCTTAACCATGACAATGTCCTTTTCATCACTCACTTTGTTCATCTCCCCCTGGCTAATCACTTTGTACCATGGCCCACTGAATGAATAAACAGCCTCCTCTTCTGAATCAAGACTCAGTCTATTTGAAACAAAGATTCCATAAGTAATGAACACAGCCCAATTTTCCTCTCCACTCACCAACAAGGAAGCCATCATTTCAATCTTATTCAACCAAACATTTCACTCCATGGGGCTCATCAGTGTTGAGGAATGATCTTTGAATCTTGCAGCATCTACTCAGTATGATTCTTTCTGATTCTAGCATTACCTGCATATGGTCACTGAGTAACACGAGAGAGTTGATTTCATGAATTTCTGTTAAATTCCTGAAAATCAGAGGTCATTCTGCTCTGACACACTCCCATTTCTTAAATTCCAAAGAGGTCTGCTGATATGCATCCCATGCCCAGGTGACTCACAGTTTCAAATTCAGATAAGACTAGCAAAATACCAACAGAATTCCAGATTCTTCCTGACCTTTACTGCTTATTTCAAAAATACTGTGAAAGGCAGTCTGAGCTCCTTCTCTTCCTCCTTCTATCCCCTCACCACATAAACCTTTTAGGTTTACATTGCTCACATAAACTTTCACCAAGCCTAATGAGGAAGTCAGCCTTTTCCCAAACTATTTCTTCCCCATGAACTCTCAGATTAGAAAAGACTCACCAGCCATGGTTCCCCGCACTCACCTGGGGTGCACAGTTGAAATAACAGGCAGGTTGGTGCTATCATTTTATGTGTGTATGTAGGGTGTATGAAGAGATTGAGTAATAATAATTACACCTACCTATATTTATTAATAGTTATAATTTCCTAAAAAGTTTTTCATTTTTAGGGAATAATTATTTGAAATAAATAATGAATGAAAATCATAACAGAATTGTGCTAATAAGACATTTGCTTCACCCTTCCTTGGAAATTGAGGAATCTATCCTATCGAATAATAGACAAACATGGTAATTGACCATACCTTCGCTACGCCTCCCATTGGCTAATCAGTGTGATATACAAATTAACCGCCAATTAGCATACTGCAGGCAGGGTGGGCCAGCACGAGCTGCCATCCAGCCCCCATGTGCCGCCTAAGCCCCGCCCCCAGCCGGGACCCCCGTGTGTGGCCCTGGGCAGCGGGAC